GCGATGGCGATGCGATATGGTATGGTGACACGCGGGAAGAGAAATAATGTAAGTTGGAGATATTTACGAGCGGAAGAATTAGCAAAACTTTGCGGCTGAAGTTTAGGTTGAAATGTAGTAGAAGTGGAAGAGACGAAGAAAAAGAGATGAAGTTGTTGGTAGGAGAAAGGGACTGAGGGAGAGGGACTTTTGGTCAAAGATGTCACAACACCAACCCCAACTTTTTCTTTCTCTATCGGTGCAGTTTTTGTCGACAAGCAACAAGCAACAAGTAACAAGCATCAAGCATCAAGCAACAAGCAACAAAGACCCCTCGCCCCTTGTCTCACAATCCTCAAGTCCAAGTCAATCCATAACACTTTCGACATGTTTCAAAGTCAGTGCGTTTACAATGAGCTCAGGTGTGATAAGTAATCACCGTAGGAACATTGTCATCGCCACCTAAGTTATCATCATCACTTTTTTTACGAGTACTGACTGTAATTCGAAGATATCCGGATGCTTCACCACAACACATAGTATGGTCTACACAAAAGCCCAAGGTACCTAGGTAAAGGCATATATCCCGCGCATCCTAGTCCAGCTAACCAGTAGTATACCGCACTCCCTCTCCAAATCCCAATCAGTTTTTCCTATTCCTATTTCTATTTCTATCTCTATTCCTACTTCTATACCTCTATATCCATATCCGAACCGTGTTGTCTCGGCCTGCGGCAATTTTCTCAATTTCCACCACCCTTAGGACGAGATAGATATGGTTTACTGCTCGCTGCATAGACCTCCCTCCCATCACTGACCCGTAATTTGCGCAAGAAGGCGGCTGGCTTGTGAATCAATAATTCATTTTTATTGATCTGATCCATCCGTTTGTGATGTGTATCGTATTTTGAGTTCCTCGGGAGGGAGGGAGTTAAGGTTACATTCATATTCAAATTCATATCACCATCACATCTGCTTTTATCTACATTTCCTTGAATCGGCAATCATATATCGTTATCAACGATTAAAAGTGCTGATCGTGAACGACTTCTCTACCTATCACTTCTCGACTTATCAATCAATCCCCACCGCCAAAATCTTCCGAGTTGTTTCAAAATCGTTTAGCAATTGGTTTCGTCTCTACCGCTGATTATCAATGATGACGTTAAACCTGAAGCGACGGATGTCTATACCCGCTCCGCTTTTCATATCTACCACATTATTCTATGTGATTCCTGTATAAACCCTCCGCCTTCCTACAGATTCGAATTCTGAACAATACTGTTGTTTCTTGTGAGCTTCTAGTCTTCTAGGTAGGTCACTAGTCAGGATGAAATAGAGAATAACTCATCAGTCGGATTCTATATCATGCTCTCCCAGGAATGAATGGTATTGCTCTAATCCAGAGTGTGCGGGACGGAGGCGTGTTTCACCCAGGAACTAGATTCTAGCCCCAATAGCATATAGCTAACTAGTCTGAACCGTACCGTCTCTCGGGATAGAAGCTCTCCCCGTCAACAAGAAGTAAACAAGGAAAGATTGAACTCATCACCAGGTATACCCACGTAAAACTTAACCCTAGCATCCAAAGTATCTCTCTCTCCCGTTCATTTGGTCATAAAATCGTAATCTTACAACGTTCATTCATCTTCTGCAAACAAAACAGTTTCTCATTTCTCTTGTATCAAACCTACCTCTTCGAATCCATGAGCTCGGATCAGATATATAACCACAAGATCCCATCTACATAGATAGCTCCCTGTCCATCTATAAAAATGGCATAGACTCCTCCTCTCTTCCACAAAATACTCCTCCTCAAACCCACAATCCCATCCATAAAACTCCTTGCAAGCACATTTTAATAATCTGCACACTTTACTACTTCAGAAGAACAATAATCTTTAATTACCAGCAACGAAATAAGATCACAAGCACAACATTCCAGCCTTTAAGTTTTCACTTACTTGCGCCTTATAAAAGTTGAATGAGAGAAAAAGAAAAGCAAGCACATGAAGCAATCAAAAAGTCCACTAGAAGGAATATCAGACCTGTTTGTTCAACAGTTCGACAATTCAACCCTTCAACCGCATGCATATAAAACATCCGATGAAGTGACCCATTACAAGTCTCCGTGAACATGATCGTCAGTCCCCTTTCAGTAATCATAATCTTACAAATATCTCGTTGATGGTTTTGGAAACTCGCATGTAGTGTTAGATATAAGATATATTATATAACGGTAGAAACACTGCATGATGAATACCCTGCTACAGATTAAATACCCCAAGGTTCGCGGAAGAACATGCTCTTACCTGCCTGACCCTATGGAGCTATATATATCGATATTAACATGCCGCAGCTAGACGAGAATTATCCATAAGGGTTTCCCGGACGAGGAGGTTGAGTTTTCGAATCTTATATGTGGCAATGGGATTTATTGATACTACCGCTAATTAGTGATTACTTTAAAGTATTTACGAGATATCTTATACAATCAGCTCTCACGGCCAAAAAAATTCTTTCCATCTCTCATTATGCATCTTTTCATTCCATGTTCATAGCTGGCCTTCCTTCTCTTGCCGCCATCAGGGACGTCTGACTAAATACATATCTTCTTAAGCGCCTGTTGTTGTAAAATCTTAACGGTAATCATATAGAACGACTAATTAGTAGAATGAAAGAACTAGATATACTGTTAGAGAGTAGGGATACCTTTTCTCACATATCCGTATTCATGAAAATATGGTCACGCTGAAGTAATATCTCATCATAAATCTCTCACTAATAGAACAAGGGACATGGCGAGATTTTAATTTGTATCTACAATCAAAGCACGAGGAATAACTACATCCTAGGATGCTATCGCCTGCGGTAGGATAGAGTTGAAAATTCGATTGTGTTTTGTGGTTCAGCGTTAAGTGGTGGTCCTCGAATCGCAACAATCGTTTAATTTCTAGCTTTGCTGATATGGAATTGTTTGTCCTTTCCAGCCGCGAGAAGCTGCTGTATCCTCAGATGAGGACCCAGTGTATCTAACATTCTGGACTAGCAGAATTGAGATATGAAGACATTCGATGTTTGAATCGATTGCATCCAAATAGTTTCAAAGTTACAAATGGTTTTAACATACCAAATAATTCGAATGCTTCAAAAGATTAATATATTCCTGTACATAGATTCGGCTGAATAATTCAAAGTCTCTCATTTTGAATCTGTAGTCCGGTCTACTTTAACCTCTCAACATGTCCCCTCAGCTAGAAAGTGGTTGGGGGAATATTTAATAAGTTCAAACTCGCGACCATTCGAGGTCCTTTCCACGTACAACCTCAACACCGGTCGGGAGAAGCAAGCATAAAAACAAAAATGAATCTTTCACCACCCCGCTCGTCCTATGGACAGCAGCAGCAGCAGCAGCAGCAGCAGCAGCTATCCGCTTTACAACAACGGAACTGCCATCTTTGGTCTAAAGTTTGCTATGCGGCGTTCTTGGACTCTTCAACCCTCGTTTCCCCCTTCTTTCGACTGATTTCTGCCCTCTCAAACAAATGTTTAAAATTCTGGGCAGTCTACATACTCGCTCTCATCAAAAATGACGCTCTCATAGTCATATGCTGCGGTTCTGACATTAATGTTAGAAAAGTTGTTTAACAAAAATTCTAGCCATATTATTCTAATGATCAATCGCCACATATGCTAAACGTGCTTTGAATACTCTCAAGCACAGAGGCATTCAATCTTGATTTCCGACACCTTAAGCTTGCACTAACAACTTGCTAGAAACACGGAGCTTTTATCCTCACTTTGAGAGCCACATTTATTTTTCTCCTCTAGGAAATGAAATCAAACGACAAGAATTGCAATACGGAGAAAACTTGCTAGCTCGCGATTTTTTGATATCAGGGTAGGCAATGACAATACTTTGGTTGACAGGACTACTGAGGGTACAAATCCTTCTACCGAACAACTCAAAATTTCGCCACTGAACACAAACAGAGACCCAAGGAGCGATAACCTGTTCATCATGCTGCAGTCAATTCAGATAATCCCCAAGTAAACCGGGACAAAGCTGATACATGGCGTAGAGGCAATTCATAAAAAGCTGCGAATAATACTCAAGCCACATACAAGCGCATGACAGAAAAGGAGCTAGATACCTTCAGAGTAAAAGCGGATAAGAAGAGGAAGGTGATATTTTGCTTGTATTTTCCAATTCCCTATGAAGCCTGATCTTGAGTTGATTGCAAAGTATATGGTAAGGAGTAATGAGGCCTCACTCTGCATTTGGAAGCCAAGGGATATTTGCTCAAAGTTAGCGCGCCAACTATGGTTCCAAGGGGAGGCTGCCAGACCAAAAAAGGAGGAGGAAAGGAAATTGAGATATTTGATAAAGAGGGATGAATCCTTCTTAATTACTGCAGGCTTGAATGAAAGATAATGGTAAAGAAGAAAAAAGGGGGATAGAGTGTATCAGTCATTACCCGTGACCGTTCAAATCCATATAGAGCGAGCTCTCCTCGATATCTGAATCCAGATCTAACAAACAGCTGATTATCCCGCATCCATTCCACCTAGACGGCCACAATATTCACCATCAGATCAATGATATTTTAGATCATCAAAGCTCTCTGGACAAGAACAATCGCATTGTTCAAGCACAAACTCTAATCTGTATGTCAAGTCTGACTCGAGTCCTGGCTGTATTGTATGAAAGGGGTCATGAACATTTGTCATCGCGAGTATGAAATTAAGTTTAATGATAATAGAACTATGAGAGGCGTTTGTCATGGAAAGCGCGATTAGAAGGCAATGAATTCTGTAGACTGATTGTTCTATTGACTGTAAGTTTAGGTTTATACAAGGAGGTAGATAAATTCCAAGGTTGTCAGAGATGATGTTGGGTTTTTAGCGTATTGTAGCCAAGTCTTTACCCAGCTAAATCCCTAGCTAACCCTACAATTGCAGCTACAAGCTCTTAGCATTCAAATCCTTTTTGTTCCACCCATACAAAGATGTAAATGACGATATTTGTATGAATCATGAATCCTCGATAACTGAATTGAACAATTGAATTTTTTTGTTTTATTTTTTGAGAGGATAATTTAACTTGGCCGTATTTCCAAGATGTGACTATAGAAAAATGAATACTGTCGCGGTCAATAAGAAAATTATTATTTCTACTACACTCCGTACAATCACATCGTACCTTCTTCCCTGCGCGTGCGAAGGCTCCAAACGTTGAATTGGTCGCTTGCTACTGCCAGTACACTACACTACACCTTCATACAAGCCAGAAAAAGATCTGGCTCATATTTATTAATTCGCAGCTAACATTGAAGTCTATTCTCAGTCAAATAGTATGATCTGCGGACATCATAAATTTCAATGTCTCTAAACAGAAGATCTTTAAGAAAATTCCAAGCACTCACCACTTCATCTAGAAATACAGTCGCGATGTCTTCAGGCGTCACCCATAACTTTGGATCGCATACACATACACATTCGCATTCGCATACGCATACTCAGTCCAACGTCAGTGGCAGAAAACGAGCACGAGAATCTGCTGATAGCGACGATCATCTACTATCCAAAGCGAAGAAAACAAAGCTCGCCATTGAGATCCCCCCTCCAAAATTAAAATCGCTTCCACCACGAAAACGATCCGGCGTTATCAAATCGAACGCGAATCCCGACCTGAACTCTGCGAACTCCGTGCAACAACATCTACAAATAGCAACACCAGCAGATGTGCGAACAGCACATCCGCCATCCGAGAAAGAAGATCAACAACCACAACCACAACAAAAACCGACAAAACACCACAATAAACTTGCCAATGGCATCAAGCACGAGCTGGATAGGTTACAGGACAAGCTACTGCAAGCTGACAAGTCCGACTTGAAGGACGAAAGGCGGAAGCTTCGATCCCAGGAAGGCACAAAATTTAAGAGCGAATTGTCGGCGTATTTCCCAGAATATGACGAAATTATTGGAAATGTTCCAAAAGAAGAACGTAAGTTTTGCAATGAAATTGGACTTCGAACTATAGCTTATTCTCCTTTTTAGATTTCTTAGATGCCGACACGCCTATTATTATCATCGATAGCTCCAAGCTTTCCTCGAAAACTCCGCGTTCCCCCAAGAAGAAGGAGCAAAAGAATGAATATACAGTCAAAGAATACCCATCCTCCCTCTTTACCAATCTTCATGCTACTCATAAAGTGGACTTTTCTCTGTTCACTCCTGTGGTTCGCGACGAGGATCCCCTTTCTGAAGATCACTTTAAGACCCTTCACAAACGACCAGAACGTCAAGAAAAAGCTGTTCGGAATGCCGATAAGAGTCGAGCGCAACATGAGAGAGATTCGGTCATTCGGCTGATGGAAGGTTTGCAAGGACCAGACTGGTTAAAGACACTGGGGGTCAGTGGTATCACCGAGGGCAGGAAGAAGGAATTTGGATCAGCACGCCAATACTTTATAAAAGGGTGCGAATCTATTCTTGAAAAGTTTCGGATCTGGAAAGATGATGAGAAGCAAAGAAAGTTGAAAAGGGAACGGGCGATAGCCGAAGCACAAGCAAGAGCTGAGGCGGAGTCCGAAGAGGATGAAGAATCTGAGGATGATCTCGAAAGTAACGGCGACCCTCCAGATCTCAGCGATATTGATGCTTCTGCTGCAAGGCAGTTGCATGATGAGGCAATCGCCAACTCTGCTCCTAGAAGAAGAGCTAGAACAAACTCCGTGCTTACCATTGCACCTACTGTGGAGAGAGAATTCAAATCATTCTTTGCCAAACCATATCTACGCGACGCAGCACTTGGAAAGCATCGACGTAGTGGTAGAAGCGTTGCTGCCTGGGGTCACCCGGTCCCTGAACTTCCAGAAGAGGCTGATTTCGACTTGCCTGAAGATTTCCTTGATGAGGAAACACTGAGGGCTCATGCAAGAAAGAAGAGAAGGGACAGAAGAATCACAAAAGACTGAAGATGCAGTCCCTGATGGATACAAGACTAGGGGGTATGGGACGAACGTCAATTTGAAAGTGCTTCAGTTGACTCGTATGTAAAATATGGAGGTTTGGGTATGCATAGCACTGGGAATTGGTCTCAGGGAGTTGAAGTTTCATGGGGGTTTAACTATATTGTATAATTTTGTACACTACATTCTAACTACCTAGAAGGCAAGGTTGTTTAGATAATATCATATTATTGTCTTACGAGATGTTTCTAAGTTCTCTCGTACTCTTGGTCTGACTGTAAAATGGTAAAACGGAAAGTTCACAAGCATAGGTGTTTACTTTATCTATTATCACACCTTATATTGTACAACGCCTGATGCTGAAAGACTTCCACAGATAGCATATCATAGACTAAAAAGACAAATGCAAACACAGGAACACCACATACAACATGCTACATCATGATTCCGGCTCTACAGCCAATTTTCGTCTCTCAAACAAAACAAGGTCTGACTTCATCGTCACTACCGTAAAATTCACCAATATCAGAAAGGTTAATGTCTGGTGTCCAATTCACTTCGTAACCTTGCATGGTTTTTATATCCCAGGGTGTTTATTTACGTGTGCACTACTTTCATTGACTTGAAAAAAACAGAAAGCCATTGAGTAGACCCAAAACGTTGTATCATTTATACCTAATCGAGTAAATGTGAGGTCGAATACCTACCTATTTCATATCACGCATGGATGTGCCACCAATAAGCGGAGCCGTGGCCTGTCTTGGCATCTGCACAGCGCCTAACGCGTCAAAGCTACCTTCAGCCTCGCGTTCTACCTTCTCAAATGATATCTATCAAGGCGAAAGCGCAATAATGGCGACAAACCATTTTCCCATAATCATAAATTTAGACATTGCTGTATTATAGTTCAGCTAGTGTGATGCGCATACAGTCGCGAGTTCCTTTATTCAAGGTTTTCTTATGCACGCATAAGCTAGTTTGATACCTACCTTGGTCATAGTGGGACACTATAGCTACCTACTTATCTACCATAACGATCTTTTTCTTCACGAACACTTCTTCTACAACTTACGATCTTTCTACGGTTTTATACTGCAATCACGGTTTTGGCGACCACTTTTCCTTTTAGCCCCAAGAACTTTAACAACTATCTAATAGATCAACTTTCAAGCTACGATTTTACGATTTCTCGGCATCATCAACTACTCACGAGCGACCACGCCTTCTGTTTGTGTAGCGCATCGTCGAAACGTTGCTCATTTTCCAACACAAGTATCAAAATTCTAGTGAATGCGAAGACAATACATATGCAATAGCTTGGTTCTATAAATTTGAGTCTGTTGCTGGCACTCGCCTTCGGCAGACCGGGCAGCGCATTTCTGGCCGCATAAATCGAACGCCAGCAGATCACTTTGTTCAATTCAATTTGAAACAATCAGTTGTAGTCCACAATACGCGCCGATTTTGGGTGGATATTTACGAAAATGCCTGCGCTATTGCTGAATCACGACGACCGCGGAGTCGCACCTGTCACGATGGAGGAACCTGCGGATTATGGCTTCATAGTAGTACATCAAAAGGTTGAACTTGAGGTTGATTTCTCAACGAAAACCTTGCGAGGCAAAACCGAAATCCAAATTCTCCCACAAACGAAGGAACTCCAGACAATACATATTCATGCTCGACAGTGTTCTATTCCACAGAGACAAGTTCTGGTAAATGGTCGAATTGCGTCTTTCTCGTACGAAGACCCCCACAAGAAAATGGAAGTTCCCGACTATTTTTCATGGGATACAGAATCACATAAGATGCAAAGCGACAGAATAAAGTTCATGGCTTCGGACAACAAGCTAGCAGGTACAATAGAGATTGAGTTGCCAGATAGTGTGAAGATTGAGGAAGTTGATCCATTCTCGGACAAGGCAGCAACACCAGTCACGCAACGTGCTGGTGGTGCAGCTGTAATTCGCAACTCTTCTGTCGCTCTAGAAGGAGGTCCGGTTGTTGCTCCCGCTTTTATTGCAAAAACAGCTGCAGAGCAAGCTTCTAGATTTCAACCCTTGACTATTACTATCCCTTTCGTTACCACACGAATTCGAGATGGTTTACAATTCGTTGGGGTTGAGGAAGGAGATGTTAGGTTTCCTCACGTCTATACCAAACATTCTATGGAGCGAGGCGTCGCATGCTGTATCTTCCCCTGTGTTGACGATTCGGCGATGAGATGTTCGTGGGATATTTCCATAAAATGTTCGAGAACTCTTGGAGACGCACTAAAGCGGCGGACCAACATCCACAGCCACAAGTACGGGCATACCAATGGAGCTTCTGAGAAGATGGACATTGAAGAAGCCTTCCTCAGCGATGAGGAGAAGCTGCTCGAGATGGCAGTAATTTGCTCTGGTGAACAAGTTGATGAAGTGATTGATTTGGATGATAGTTCTAAGAAGATCGTATCATTTCAATGCACTTCTGATATATCTGCAACACATGTAGGTTTCGCCATTGGTCCGTTTGAACAGGTCGATTTGTCAGAGTACCGAGAGGGCGAAGATGAAGAACGACTTGGACAGGGACAATCAACTGCCATATATGGATACTGCCTCCCGGGAAGAACGGAAGAGCTGAGGAATACTTGCGCACCATTGGCTCACGCCATTGATCACTTTGTCCTCACCTTGGGCAGTTTCCCATTTTCAGAGTCAAAATTTGTTTTTGTTGATGATCAGGTAAATGATACGGAGCATACCGCATCACTATCCCTTTGCAGTAGTCGACTCTTATTTCCGGAAGACATCATCGATCCAGAGATGGATACCGTCAGGAAACTTGTTCATGCTATAGCTAGCCAGTATGTTGGTGTTAGCATTGTGCCAGACCGACGTTCTGACAGGTGGCTCATTGTTGGTATCTCCCATTTCATGACAAACACATTCATGAAGACCCTTTGTGGAAATAACGAATTCATGTTCCGTCAGAAACTGAATACAGACCGGCTTGTTAAGCTGGATATTGACAGACCATCCCTGCATGCCCTAGGTGAGATTGTGGATGTCTGTGACGCCTTTCGAGAGTTCATGGAGTTGAAGGCACCGCTCGTTCTGTTCATTTTGGACAAACGTATTGCCAAAGCACAAGGAGGCACTGGTATCTCAAGAGTCATCTCTAAGATGATTGTAAACGCAAATGCTTCTGGAGGCGCCGACTCTACAATCTCGACGGAAGGGTTCCGTAAGAGCTGTGAGAAAATCACCAAGTACAGAGATACTGATTCCTTCTTCACTCAATGGGTTCTTGGCGCAGGATGCCCACACTTTACTATCACACAAAAGTTCAACAAAAAGAGATTATGTGTTGAAATGACCATTACACAAACCCAGGCGAACTCGGAGACAGAACTTAAGTTGCACAAGGATGGCTTCTACAGATCTTTCAAGGAATCGACAGCTGGAGTAATTGCACCAAAGGCACAGAACGCATTTACTGGACCGTTGACCATTCGAATTCACGAGGCTGATGGTACTCCTACGAACATATAGTTATGATCAGAGAGAAGATCAAGAATTGAAATTCCGTACAACACCAAATACAAGCGCCTTAAGCGCAATAGGCGTATGAAGGAACGTGCAAATGCAGGCATTGCCATGGATATCAATGCCGAGAACCATGACGATGCTCTCATCTACTGCTTAGGGGATGTTCTCCAGTCACCGCAAGATATCCAAGAGTGGGGTTTACGAGATTGGGACCCAGCCACAGAAGCCAAGATGGAAGCCGAATCGTATGAATGGATTCGTGTTGATGCTGACTTTGAATGGATATGCGATAAGAAATTCACTGGTATGGAGGCATACATGTATGTTTCTCAACTTCAGCAAGACCGCGATATCTCGGCTCAATATGAGTCGATGGCGTACCTGGATAATGCTCCTCCTCATCCGCTCGTTGCCACATTTTTGATTAGAACTTTAATGGACCGGCGCTATTTTTATGGCATTAGGACAATGGCTGCAAAGTCTCTTGCTAAACATGCTGTAGAGAAAGACGTAAAGTGGATAGGTCTGACTCACCTCGAAAAGGCTTTCCAAGAGTTCTTTGCTACCCTGGTACAAAGATGCCTAGATCGAATGACTTTTCCGATAAGCAAGCTTATTGGATCGAATGCGCCATTCCCGAGGCTATGTCAAGGGTCAGAAGCTTATACGATTCTCTCTGCCCCAAAAGAGCGCGACAGTTCATACTTGACCAGCTTCGCTTCAACGACAACGGAAACAATGACTATTCGGACAACTTCAAGGTTGCAAACCTTTTAAAGTCATTGGCAGACTCATTGATTCCTGGTGATAAGGGTATCAATAACGATGCACTTCAACTTGACGAGGCCGAAGAAAAGGACGAGCCTCGGGAGTTCAAGAATATCGTTTTGGAGGAGCTTGACAGATATAGTAGGATGGATGAGTGGATAGATTCATATCAGAATATCTATACCATCACAGTCATAGAGTGCAAACTGAAGTTGATGAATGCAGGTGTCATACCAGTGGATGCACTTGACTTTGCTCAATACCTTCACGACGGAAGTTCTCCAAATGTACGAATCAAAGCGTCTTGGGCACTTGCTGACCTTGGATTCTTGAAAAACACTGCTGTGGCATGTCTACTCGTGACTGCTATGAGTACAGATCCGTCGCCATGGGTTCGAGGTGAACTTACAAAGGCGTTCTATTATGGATTGGGAGTCCTGGGACTTGGTGAATACAAAACTAAACGAGTTGCCGCTCCTGTGGCCAAGGATGGCTTAATTATCGAAGAAGCATCCACGAGTGCACGACAGGAGCAAGCAGAGCGGAGTAACATAATAGGTGCGCTTGCTTCGCTAAAGTTGGAAGTCGGCGGAAACACTGATTTGAAAAATGCCTTGTGGAAAGCTGTCCTATCTCCTGTGATTACTGTGGCAGAGCAAATGGATTTCCTTGACCTCTGCACCATGTTTTGTTACCCTAAAGAGTCTTTGAATTTGAAGCTAAAGTATCCTCGTTATTGGAGAGCCGAACACCGCGGGAAGGTATGTCATACGAGATTTTTAGCGTTGATGCTTTTATACTAATTTTATCTAGGGTCGAATGGTTTTAAAAACCAAAAAGTTCGTACAACTATCGTGGAAAGAATTGTTCCAAGCAAGATCAAAGCCCTTGCTGCCCCCAGCCACCTGTACCCTCACCCACCGTCGCCGCTCCTCTGTAGGACCATCAGCAGAGAGACCAACGATGCCTCTTAAGCTCAAGATTGGCAATTCTTCTGCCCTGAAGCTAAACAATTCACCTGCTCTGAAGCTAGGCAATTCTTCTGCTTTGAAGTTAAGCAATTCACCTGCTCCAAAGGTAGCTAATCCACCTGCTCTAAAGCTTGGCAGTTCACCTGCTCCAAAGCCAGCTAATCCACCTGCTCTTAAATTTGGCAGCTCATCTTCTGGGCTCAAGATTGGCAGCACATCTACTGGGCTCAAGGTTGGCAGCCCATCTACTGTAGTTCCTAAGCATCCAGGCATTTCAGGTTCATCTGCTGCAACGCCTAAACATCCCAACTCTTCTGGGCCATTTGCTGGACCTCCTAAAACTTCTAGCTCTTTGGGGACAACTAAACATTCTAGCTCAGTACACAGCTCTGCAGGAACATCAAAACCCCCTGGCTTAGTAAAACTCTCAAGTTCTTCAGGAGATATGAAACCACCCAAACGACCTCTTCCGGCAGATATTGCGGAGAGTTCTAATTTATTACACAAGGATAAGAAACAATTTGAGAGTTTCAATTCATCACACAAGGATAAAAAGCCAGCATTGATTGTCAAACTCAAGGTTCCTGCTTCCAAGTTAAAGCGGATTGTCTCATCACCTCGTAACTCTAAGACAAAAGCTCCTTCCTCATCTCCATCCATGTCCAATCCGAGACGGCCGTCCCCCAAGCCATCACCAAAGCCATCCTCAAAACCTTCGCCGGCATCAACACAATCGGTCAGAGCTAGCCCTGCTCTTGCTTTTTCCTCTAGTTCATCGGGTCACACATCATCAAATGTCAAGAAGCCATCAAGTTCAATTCACGTCGCAGCACCTATCCGGAAACCTCTTCCCGAAGGCCGAAAACCTTTACCAGATTCGGCACATCATCTTCCCTCGGCACCCCCTACCCCTGCCGATGTACCCAAAAAACCAACCATCAAACTCAACTTTAAACCTAAACCCAAACCTTCATTCTCTTGATTTTATTATTTTTATAGAAACAGAGAATGGAAATTCCTTCGTCTTTCCTCACCTCTTTCAAAGCTTTTCTTTTTCTTTCGGCATTTAATTGGTCTGCATTTAGTGAACAGGCGTCTCGGCAATAGTCTTTCAGCAAATTTGCATTTGGGGGGAACCGGATTCGTTTATTATCGAGGAGGTGTTTATCAGGAAAAGGAAGAAGAAAACTGGGGCGTTTGTGTGTGAACCTTTTTATTTCGCGCATAGGCATGTTATCATGACGTGAAAAGAGAACATGAGCTTTTACGTTCTTGGAAGATCCTCCAGAAGAGAGGATTGAGTCGAGAATTAGTGAGGGCAGCAAAGTAGTTAATGAATGCACAATTCAGATAGTTTACTGTCTCCTTTTTTATTTATGCGATATATTTCATGTGATGTGAGTTTTATAAGGTGACGCGACTCGACAGCTAGGCAAAGAGTGGAGGTTGATAGATGTAAGTTAGAATTTCACCTCACGTTGCTATTCTTCAAGTAATAGCAGTTATGGGATTTGATGTATCTAAAGTCTTGTAGAAGAATATCCCCTCCCTAATTATCCTCCAAAACGAAAGCAAGGATGAGGAAGAATTGAATTATCAGATTTGAATTGAGGGGAGGTTGAAGAGTATGTATTGATTCTTAAATTGGATTGTTTGGATTGGATTGGATGGGGGGAGTGAAAGGGGTGGGTTGGTTAAAAGGTTCGCGGGAGTGAGGAGTGGTAGATATTCATCAGCTATTTACCTACTAACATACGATGTGGATGTGGATGTGGATGTGGATGTGGATGTGGATGTGGATGTGGATGTGGATGTGGATGTGGATGTGGATGTGGATGTGGATGTGGATGGGAATGGGAATGGGAATAGCAATGCTGAAGTAGATTTATGTAACGTTAGGGAGATTCGGATACCAGAATAAGTTGACGGGACTGGGAATAGAATTTAGGAGTTTAGTCACGATATAGAGAGGAGAGGAGGGAAGAGGTCGTGGGATGTGATGGGTGGTTGGAGAGAAGTTAATGTAAATCTTAGAATGAGATTGGATCTCTCTTTGATTACTCGTAGAATAATCGGGGTTTCATCAAAGCCAGCCTCGAAAATTAGAATACAGACTCCCGGTCTAATTTCTAGTAATTGTGGTAATCATATCTCTTTATATTATTGATATCTCGAGTGGAAGATGATGGAGAATGTAATCAATTCTTGTAATATACTTTTATCACAACAAATTTATCGGCTCCTATTCGCTTCCTGTTCCAGATTCCTATAACTCCATCTCCATGCATCCTACCATGTAATCCAATGTATTCCAGCATCCATATTCATCTACTCAAATATTGCTTATCCCTGATGTATCCATGAAATCAATTCCCATATCGCAAACCATCCCCATCACCAAATCTATACACTCCATCCACAAACAAACCTAAATCCCTCCCTCACCCCTCCTCCCTCTTCCTCTCCTCCCCTCCCTTCCCTCCTCCCCTCCTTCCCCTCCTTCCCCATCCTTCCCTTCCTTCCCCTCTATATCTATATTATATATATACCTGAACCAGAATTATCTTATATATACACACATATATATGTAGATACATACATATACTTAAAAAGTAAATATAAAACAACATTCTAACAATGGCTTGTATTTCGATTTTCCAAGCTCTTATTTATATCTAGCCTATTCTACACCCATCCCATTCCATCCCATCTGATTAACATCTTTATTCCAGTCCATCGATCGATTGATCGATTAATTGAATTGATAAAGAGATAACTCATCACAAACAATGAACACTCTCAAAACACAAACATCTCAAAGTCTATTTATTCATTTATTCATTTTAATTTCCACTTTCGAGTTTTACTAATTTCTTTTATTGGATTTTGATTTTCCATCTCCATCCAGTCTTTCTCCACTCCCATCTCTCTTCCTCCCATCTCTCCTTCTCCCCTACCTTCACAAACTATGACAAGATCTTACCCATCTCCTCTCTTCTCTCCCCCAACTCTTATCTCTCCATCCTATCTCATCTTCATTCTCCCCAGATATATCCATTATATCTATGCACTTCACCAACCCCAATCCTTTTTCCATCTCATCTTATCCCACTTCCCCAAAATTTATCCTATCCAATCCACCGTACCTCAAAATTACTTATCTCAATGCGCCCCCTCAATTATCTAACATTTTATCATATACATATATAATCATCAATCGTACCATGATGCGTCCTTCTGTCCATCCACTACCTATCCGCCAATGTCGAATGGTGTGTATGTGCCAATCATTAATCTATGCCGGATACACCTTTTCTTATTTTGCCCTTGCTTGACTCAGACTCCTCTCCTACATTTATTCCCTGCAACTCCATATCTTCGACTTGGTGATTCTCTACTGTAGTAGATAAGACGAGATGTATGATCTATCTATGACCATTTCAACTACTGCATTCTGTGAAGGACAAGTATCTCTTCTACTTCATCATGCTAATAGTAAGTAGTCTTACTCGACGTTTTTTATCATCTCTCGTTACTTTCAAAGTGACGCAGGAAAATGTCAACAGTCGACTGTCTTATTTTTGTTTCCACGACGATCTTGCCACAGAATCATCGACTGAAGTTGATGATTGCCAACTATACAAATCATTAGCATTAATTCGACAATGACCACACGGAATACATACCACACTACTACACCATAAGCCAACTTTTGACCATTCGCATCCCAACTTAGGACATACTCATCTTCTCCATTTGATTCATTTGATTGTGGTGTTTGCCAACCATTTCCAGGTGGTCTATTCCAAGTTGCTCGAGGAATATAGGTATCGTCAACTTTCCAAATGAAAACTCGATCACTAGTGGCACCAGCTATGAATGCACCATCTGAAGTGAATTTAACTGTAAAAATACTAGTTGAATCGATCGTCATTGAGCATTTTTGCTTTGGCTCCGAGGATATGGCGTTCCAAATGCTAATGGCGCCGTCTTCACTCGATGAAGCTAGCAATCTTTCACCGTTTTCGTTCACCATGTTAGAAGGTAATGGTTGCCATACGAGGGAAGTAATTGGTCCAGTGTGCGCATTGAATGTTCGAGAACGACCATGCTCGTCCCATATCTAAAGAAATTAGATTAGTAGTCGATTAAATCAACAGTGAAGATACCTACATCAATCATACCACTTTCACTACCAGTAGCAAGTAATTTAGAAACCCTGTCGAAAGTAGCATGAGACAATCGATGCTGGTCACGATGCTCAAGTTTCATTACATGTTCAACAATTCCATCAGTAATTCGAAATATCTCCAGGAATTCGCCCCGTACACGATGAAATCTTCATCACTCATCCACAAAGCCTCTAATGGGTATTCTAGAAGAGGTACCGACGGTAATGTATATTGTATAGTTCGAAAATCCATCATTGAAGTGATGGTAACGGCTGTCCCAATAGCATTTGGTGTAACTGTAATTGGAGAGATCGACAAAAATAATGTATTCGAGAAATTCCATCTTACTGAAATGACTGGAGATTCCATTGGAGCAGAAGTATGCAAGAGTTGACCCTTGACAGACCAAACAGCAACATTTGCTGTTCCTTCAGACTGCTCACTGGCAACAAGAATATGGTTCCCATCCGATGACCAGGTAAGCTCATTAACAACTGTCGTTTGGGGCGCTAGAGGTTCGAGAAGATGAGTACATGGTGGGAAACTTCCATTCCCATTCATGTCTGAAGCATTAGAAAGAGTATTACTTCCATTGCTCTGATCAGTAACCGTACGTGAAAGGTCCCACATTCGAGCTAATGAATCGGTACCTCCCGCAGCCAAGAAATGAGGTATTCTTGGATTCCATTCGCAACGATATAAAATGGTCGATTTCGATGCATTATCGTCCAATAAATCTAGATATATCGTTTCGGTTTTGAGGTTTGAAACTTTATCATATTGAGTACCTTTTTCTGGTCCATTGGTGGCGGTAATTGGTGATGGTAATTGCTCTGGTGATGGATAAGCATGACCATCTCCATTCTGATCACCATCAATTTCCATGGGTGTTGAAGCTGATTCGTAATAATTCACACTTCCATTCCCGTTTCCATTTCCATTCGACATTCCATTCGAAGTTCCATTTGAAATTCCATTTTCGTAACCATTGGTAAGTCGAGGTTTCTTTCCCGGTGGACCATTTGGGATTGAATTTGATTCCTCTTCTAACTGATGTTTTCGGGCAATTTCTGGGTCTTCATTATTGTTGGGGGCTTCTTGAGGCGAAGCAATGATTGGTATGGTTCTGTTTGTTGTTTCTAAGGGACCAAAAACTCCCATCGGTAATTCTGAAACATTTTGAGGTAATCCTTGGTGTTGTCGAAATGCCTAAAAGAAGAAGCATGTTAATTAAAAGGTTCCATTTGAATTCTCGATTTCAATCAATTGAATGATGAGAAAGAAAGTAGTGAGTAAGTAAGTTAAAAACGAGGTAAAGTGAAGAAGTGTAGTGAAGTGAAGTGTGAAGTAAGGTTAGATGAATGTAACATGTAAAAATAAGTAAACATCGCAAAACCCAAATGATTTGTGAAATGCATTAAATCCGACAGAAATCGTACAGGAGTCGAGGATTTGAAACATAGAATGTAGAATAGACACATACCCTTGATGCTTCTCTATTGTATGCATCATAAAGAAGACCTTTGTTTAAAACGGAGACTAGTGCATGCTTTCCGACATGGGGCGCAAATGGTAATAGTTCTGGCTGTTTAACGTCCCACTCTTTGGAAAGGTGACGAGCCGCTTCTTCGTAACCTGAATAGAAAGGAAAGAAAGAATTTGATCAGTCCAATGATTCTCCATACAATGAAAATACGAGTACCATTTTTGTGACCTCAGGCTCAATACCCGAGGTAAAAAGGCAGAAGAGGAGGTAGAAGAAAAAGGAAAATAGAAAAATAAGAATGAATGAGATTGAGTATATCCTCATCTTCTTTCTTTCCCGTCCTCTTCTTTTCCCTTTGAGTAACTGCACTGATTGTAACTATACATACCTGATTCTAAAAATATCTGTAATGCAATACCAATAATTGCCGTTAGCGAAATGTAATCTCAAATATCATTCCGTACCTATAAGAAAAACCGAATGAACGGATCACGAGGAAACACGTACTTCCAAATCAAATAATTCACCTTGTCCGAGGTTAAAGTTTCCTTCGTCATTGCTACTTTGGTATTCGAGGATGGCCAGATGGTGTAGATATTGCTTCAATTCGAGACCTGGATGATTGGAAAATCTCTGATTCGTGATTGTGTAGCGTCGAGGCTGATTGATTGATGTATGATGTATGTTGAATGTAGATGTAGATGTAGATGTAGATGTAGTGCAGTAAAAGCAATTTGCGTATGGGGTATCTATCGTATTGGGTATTGAATCGAAACAAATGGTATTGTGTGGTTGAGTGGGGGTTCTATTATGATTGCGCGCTCGATGCTATGTTGTAAGGACGGTGAGTTGCGATTGTTAAGGAGGTGATGGTGATGGTGATGGTGATGGTGATGATGATGATGGTGGTGGTGGTGGTGTAGTGGAAGTGAAAGTGGTGGCGGCAGTGGTGGTAATGGGGAGTGGTGATGTTGTTGATGTAGATGGGTTGTAGGTAGGTTTATTGTTGTTGTAGTTATGTTTTGCGGGCTGTGTTGAATTCGAGATTGAGGAATGGGTAGAAAAGAGACTTGTTCGTTGCAGCTAGAAGCTAAGGACGATATTAAAACCATAGACGGATGTTGATTGGTTGGAAAGTGGAGAGATCCAAAAGAATTAAAGCAGGGGAGGCGGAATCATTGGATAAAGTAAAAGGAAGTGAAAGCGTAACAGGGACGATCTTATTAAAGAATAGGTGCTAATACCGAATTAGTACTAACTACTAGAGGTAGGTAGTATTTCATCCATTTCATCCATTTCATCCATTTCATCTGCAAAAGTTCAAAAATTCCAAAATGCTAAATTGTGTGAAACGGTGAAACCAAGTGCCCGTACTCTCGACTCTGTTCTTTTTGATGATTAATAAGTAGTCGGTGGTACTTGGGACTTGGGACTTGGGACTTGGTACTCGGTACATGCTAGCTAGGTATGTGAAGATACTAGGGAGATTCAATCAAGGCAAGGTCCAAGTTCTGTGTTTATACTTGAGTGAATGTGTTATCTAGAAAAGATAGAATTTCATCGGCTATAGCATTGCGCTTGTTTTATCACAATTCACAAAGGCAAAAGCAAAGCCCAAGGCAAGAAGAGAAGAATGTTTGAGATGGAAGAAAAAGGTTTAAGGTGGTAACAAGAAGCGGTGGCATGGATGTATGAGAAATACCTACGGAGTAATACCCAAGTATTAGTAGTGGTTGAATTTTAGTGCATGACAAGCAGGAAAACAGAAAACCACCAACGAAGCCATGGCCCATGGCATGGGAAAGTCAAGAGAATGAGAAGGAACATTTTCAACCCATCCACATGAACATCCACATGAACATCCACACCTACGGAGTACTTTTGTACTCTGCCCATATTATTCGTTCCAAGACTTCTTTTTAAAAACCCTCCCATGTCAATTTTTCGATCAAGCATTAGTACCACCCACCCGTTACTACAATAAATTAACAGGGGGGTCATACACGGGGATTCAAGGGGACGAGGGAAGTGGCCGGACAGCAAGAGTATAAGCCAAGCCGAAACAAATGACAAGGTATAATTACAGTTGGTCAAGAGTCAAGTGTGATCGTCCTGCCCTATCGAGAATCGAGATGCGTGTGATGGCTTGAACCCGGTTAAAAGAATGGAAGGATTATCAAAAATAAATGGAGAGAAAGTGGCAGCGAAAGAGAACCCTTCATTTGATGTTCATGGATGAAACTGGAGATTCCCATTCCCTTGACAGGTCTTACCTTCTTTGTTAATATCTCCGACGCTTTGTTGATTGTGTGAAGAAGATGGATAAGTGACAAAGCAACCCAAGAGATTGATTGTCATGGGAGTTGATTGGCCGATATTTAATAACTATACATTATTGCGAGCTTGCGGATGGGAAATTCTGAATGCTTGAATGACGGATTCGGTATGTACCAGATTTTGGGATACTTGGCTTTCACTAAATCCAACTCTTTGACCCTCAGGCCTCACGGTGGTGACGGGAATTTCCTGGAGTCGAGTCGACTTGTTACCGAAAGAGGTTGGAGATCTGGCTAAAGCTGGTGTTTCTTCTAGACCATTACCGGATTCATGGCTTAAATATTGGCTGAACGTATCCCCGTGCATCCCAACTTTTCAAGATGCATGAATTGATAGGCGAGCTGGAATAATGTGCCTAAGTGCCCCAGGTGTGCAACGGCGTACGGTACGTGATGGTAAAATGCTTGCTTGTCTCGATAAAGCCGTGGATGACGGCGATGGTATGGTGATGTCCTGTTGAGGCAAGTAGCTTCTCGATACACGGTAGTTGGTAAAAGAAGATGCGTGTAACAAGAGAAATGAATGCCTGTCGATATTTAATTTTAGATTAATATTTGCCCATTTGCCTACCAAAAGATTTTATTTTTAGGTTTCGAAGAGGAATACTACCATGTAAGGTAAGGTAAGGTAAGGTAAGGTAAGGTAAGGAAGGAATATTCTATTCTAACAATGAGAGCTCGGATGAAAGATGCATGGGATACAAGACCAGTTTGTTCTTGCTCCCGTTGTTGATCAACGTCTCATCCCCGAGTAAGATTCAATTCTGCCTACCTAGGTGCCTATTGATTAATTTTCAGGGCCCATTCCAGTGATCAGATTTTCTAGTGATGAAGCTTGTAACGAGAGAATTTCTATGGTCTTACCACTCACTATACAGTAGTACAACTGTAGCACTGGCATCGCGTTGCACTATCTCGCACCGAGTATCTTCAGGGCTTTTCTCACCACCTCTGACTGAGATTCTAGGGACGGAAGTACGAAACGAACTAAACATGCTAGGTAAGGTTATAGTACTAGATGACAGATGAGGGACGATTCAGTGGAATAAATACTGATGCCTAGGCATGATGATGATGCACAGCAGTAGCTCACTTCATGCCGGGGGTCCAAATATTGCAATTGATGAGAAGAGAACCTTATTTATTATATTCTTGAACCCACCCATACGGAGTACGCATACACTCATACACATCAATTATCACCATATCACCATTTCACCATTTCACCATTTCACCATATCACACCGCGTATCTCTTCAGACGTTGGAATATGTTGGTTAATTCAGGTACGTCGAACTTCCTGCCATATTACTTGCGCATATACGATTAACGAATTTTTCCTTTTTAATTGCATTTTCCGGTACCGCCTCCTCTCATGGAATGTTTATTAGTTGCTAAGACCTACGCCTACCCCTAGTATGTATCACACGCATAAATATTTCTAAATCTTGATGAACTGTCCTGCCAATCGTGCTTCTCTCCCACATTTTCAGAATTTCTACCCGGCATGTTTTTGCCCACTAATAAGTCTTTGGGGCTAAATCCAAATAAAACTTAGTTCATCTCCACAGCCTCATACCTCACGTGGCTTACAATTTTCATACTTCAGCCTTATGTTTGAGGCTACAAGGTTCTTGCTCAAAAGGCCGAAACAATTTCAATGGTCTGTGTCTCGAACACTTAGTAATTTTGATGACAGCTTTAATTTTGTTTAGGGAAAGCTTGATGAAAATCCCCAAAGCTTCATTATTGAAGATATACTTACTTACACTGCTACCAAATTCTTTACCAAGGAGGAAGGATTTACCACTCCTTCCAAGGTACTTCTACATATTCATAATTATGCCACCAAGATTAAATATTCCTCCAGTGACGAGGATACTACTTGTCGCATTAGTATCTGAATCCATTTTGAGTGCAGCAATTCGATATAAACAATGGGACAAGGAAACCGCGGCAGATCTTCATATAGTAGTTCCATACTTATCGCTCGTACCTCAATTATCCTTCATATATCCTTGGACCTTCCTGACAACTACATTGGTGGAGAATAATGTGTTTACGTTGGCTATAGCTGGATTGGCTTTATTCTATGGAGGAAGATATTTGGAACGAGCATGGACATCCAAGGAATTCGCAAAGTTTATTATAGTCGCATCTCTTCTTCCTAACCTTTTTACATTCGGGACCTTGGTTCTTTTCTTTGCTGTTACTGGTGATATGAGCTGGACGTGAGTTATTCAAATTCTGCCGTTTCTATCCTAAAGCTTGTCTATTCTCCAAATTACTAACACCTACCAAAAGTCTCAGCTCAATCAATGGGACCATCCCTCTTCAAATCTCATTCCTAATCGCCTTCTCTCAACTCATACCTACACATACCGTCACCTTATTTAAGGGAATTCTCTCTCTTCGCGTTCCTCGATTCCCTCTCCTCCACTTCTCTACTATCCCACCCTCTCGCTCCTCCAACTCCTAAGCATCTCTTCTGTCTTCCTCGTCTCATGGGCCTTCCTCACTTCCTGGACCTACCTCCGCTTCTATAAACCCGCCTTCCCAGATCTCGATTCCCATCAAACGCCTACCCCTTCGCGGCGATGCAAGCGAGACGTTCGCATTCGCAGAATTTTTCCCTGGTCCTCTCAAACCTCTCCTCGCTTCCTTCTCAG